TGTAAACCACAGGTGTAAACACCTGGTTCGGTGCTTCAGAGCTAGGTTAGTGTTAACCCTGGGTTAAAATTAAACCCGATGTTATTAGAAATTAACAATATACTCGTAACTCGCAACTCGCAGCTCGCAACTCGCAACTCGCAGCTCGCAGCTCGCAACTCGCAACTCGCAGCTCGCACTATAGATAATCTCCTGCGGCGCTTGCTAATGATTTTGGAAATTATTTTGTTGACAAAATTGAGGTAATTCGTTCTGGTTTTCCTGATTCTCATGATGTTTCCTATCAGTCTGTAACAGTTGACCAGCCGGACTGTAACCGATTCGAAAATTTTAATATTTTGTCTGAGGAAGAAGTCCGTGATATAATTTTAAAGTCGTCCAAGAAGACTTGTGCATTGGACACTATGCCCACTTTTCTGATTATCAAGTGCATGGACGTACTCCTCCCTGTTTTAACCACTATGGTTAATATGTCACTATAGAGGCTTTAAGCCTGATTTCCACTAGGCGGAATTTTGCGCGCGCAGCGGAAATATTCTTTGTCTTTTCTAATTAGTTCTACCTGAGAAATCACAAGACAAAGAAAAATTCCGCTCCGCTCGCAAAATTCCGCCTAGTGGAAATCAGGCTTTAGTCCTTCCTATCCTTAAGAAGATCGGATTAGAATTCCTTTTCAATAATTATCGGCCTGTTAGCAACTTATCATTTGTGTCAAAGGTCACAGAGAGGGCTGTCTTTGCACAAATTCACCAGCATATGATGTCAAATAGTCTGTGTCCATCGCTGCAGTCAGGCTATAGACAGAATCTGCTATTAAAAGTTAGGAATGACATACTTATGAAAATGTATTCCCAGAACGTTGTTCTCTTAGTATTGCTAGATCTTAGTGCCGCCTTTGACACAGTAGACCACAAAATTCTTCTGAGTAGGCTTCACTCTACATTCGGTATCACTGGTAAACCTCTAGATTGGTTTGCCTCGTACCTCACTGGCAGGAGTCAGCGTATATCTATCTCAGGTGTTCAATCAAACTATTTTCAGTTAAGTTGTGGAGTTCCTTATTGAATGATGACAAAACCGAATTCCTCATTATAGGTACTAAACAGCAACTTGCCAAAGTGAATATTTCGCAGATCAAAATTGGTGATTTAGTCGTAGATAAGTCGAAAGTTGTTAGAAATCTAGGATCCTGGTTTGATGAAAGATTCACCATGGAAACGCACATTAATAAAGTATGCAAAACAGCTTTTTATCATCTCCATAATATTAATTAGAAGAATTAGAAAATACCTATCACCTGAGTCAGCGGAAATTCTGGTTCACGCGTTTATCACCACAAGGTTGGATTACTGCAATAGTTTGCTGTTTGGACTGCCGCAATATCAGCTGGCCAAATTACAACGGGTGCAGAATGCTGCGGCCAGGCTTATCTGTAAACTACCTAGATTTTGCCACATTACACCTGTACTTTGTAGTCTCCACTGGCTTCCGATTAATTATCGTATCGAATTTAAGGTCTTATTAATCACGTTCAAGGCAATTCATGGTATTGCACCTGATTATATTTGCGACATTGTAAACGTTAAAAAGCCCTCAAGGTACAATTTACGTAATAATGAAGAGACCTTACTAGTACCACCACCTGGCAAATCACTTGTGACATTGGGAGATAGAGGATTTGCATCTGCAGCCCCCAAACTATGGAACTCTTTGCCTAAGGCTATTAGGGCCACAAATTCATTATCAACCTTCAAGAGCACTATCAAGACTCTGCTTTTTAACTGTGCTTTTAATGCTTAGATATCTTCTGATTATTGTAATATTTTATTCTCGTTCACCTGTAATGCGCCTTTGATCATTTTTATGTAATTGGGGCAATATAAATTTCATTTTAAATTAAATTAATTAAATATATATCAACTGTGAGTTTTCCATGGACTTCTCCCAAAACGTTAAGTTATTTCAAAAGATTGACTGAATATTTGCCATGCATGCGTGTATCTTTGTTAAGGCCCTGTCACACTATTGCGTATCGTACTAGCGTATGCCAGCGTATTAAAAATATCACTCATGCGCCGGTATACGTTGACATACGCTAGGGGTACGTTAGGCATAGGTTGTATACGTTTCAAGCACGGTGGCATACGCTGGCATACGGCGAGGTAGAAAATTTTTTTTAAACATGTTCAAAAATTTTGTGCATATCGCACGTATGCTTTATACGATAAGCATACTCTAGGCACACGCTGAATACGCTAGAGGTACGCCAGATGTACGGTACTCATACGCTTGCATTTCAAAAGATTTTTGTTCTGTACGTATGAAAATTATTTCATTAATTTTGATACGCTTCTCATACGTTTCTCTCATACGCAATAGTGTGACAGGGCCTTTACTTGCTTAGTGTTGTTGCCGATGCAGAAGAAAGCGAAGTCTACCTGCATGAATATTTTAGATACATGCAATAGTATTTTGAATCAGAAATTAATATACTCGGAGCAGAATAGTTTTTTCAAAGTTGAACTTATATATATACACGTTATAGGTATGTTCCAAACGTTGCGTTTCTTTGTCGTTCGCCAGATTTGGCACGCGAGAAACGCCAATATCGCACTAAGCCTGAATTGCATTACGTTAATCTGATATTTTAAGAATAACGCGGGCTGTCGCATATATGCAGCATGAAGTGGATCTTTTCCTAACTCGCTTGTAGCTTGCGTTTCGCGCTGCGGATAGACTGTATATATGCTGCCGTTTCTACGGCTGTGAACAGCAATGACCAATTTATGTGATTTATTGCTGTATTGATTGCATTAGCCTACTCCCTTTAATTTTAACACCGCTACCGCCACGGTCGGTATGGCTTGATATATTTAATATACACGGCCGTTTACGAGTAATATAATGAGTTTATCTCATGTCATTGTATTAAAACGTCTATCACGTACAGGAATGAATACTACATTGTCGTTCAGTTAATGCGGCTATTCGTTCGTTCTCGTGCTACGGTGCAGGTTAACTATTAAGTGCATTATACAAAAATTGGACCCTGACGAATTTATACGAACTCAAGACAGTGATCTGTACATCGGGAAAGTGCTCACGTTAAAGGAAAATAACACATACCCAACAGAGGAAGAGATAAACCGTCTAACACTCAGTAGAGGCTAAAACTTCGCTCAGAGAATGGAAAAGATTAGAAACAGGAACTGACGGAATATTGAGGAGAAAACGAGGACCAGTGATGCAATTGGTGCTGCCACATTGTTATCGTATAACAGTTTACAAAAAAACTTCATCAGAATATGGGTCACCTGGGAGCTGAAAGAGTAGTAAAGCTTGCAAGGGAAAGGCTCTTTTGGCCGCACATGGAAAGGAATATTACGCCCTTTGTAACCAAGGAATGTAGCTGTGTGAAACAACAAGCTCCAGCGATGAAGAAAACGCGTGTCCCATTGCAAAATGTAACTGCTTATGCGCCACTTCAACTCGTCTCAATGGATTTCCTACACTTGAACGAATTAAGAACTGGCGGTTACGAATACATTCTCGTAAAAGTCGATCACTTTACACGTTTCGCACAAGCGTATCCAACCAGGACTAAAAAAGGGCGAACCGCCGCAGAAAAACTGTACAACGATTTTATTCTTAAATACGGATTTCCAAGCCGGATTCTACATGATCAAGGACGAGAGTTCGAGAATAAATTATTTCATCAATTAGACAAATCGTGTGATAATTCGATCGAGAACAACACCGTATCACCCACAAAACAACGGTATAAAGCAGAAAGATTCAATAAAACGCTTTTGTCCATGCTAAAGACGCTGCCATAGAGTCAGAAAAAAACCCATGGGACAAACACGTCTCGAAAGTTGTACACCATTTCCCCGTCATTTTTCCTGCTTTTCGGTCGTTCTCCAAGATTACCGATAGATTTCATGTTTCATTGTAACAAAGTTGAAGACAGACTCAACCACAAAGATTATGTAAAAAAGTAGTCTAGTGCAATGAATGACGCTCATACTTTCGCCAGCGAACATGCTTTTAAGAACAGTTCAAAAGGAAAGAGACATTATGATAAAGGTGCGAGATATTCTACGTTAAAGCCTAGTGATCGTGTACTAGTAAGGAATTTAAGTGAACGGGGTGGTCCAGGGAAGTTGAAATCGCACTGGAAGAAAGACATTCACATTGTCGTAAATTGCATGCAGGACAGTCCAGTGTATAAAGTGAAACCAAAAGCGAAAGACGAAGGCAACGATTACTTTATCGGGATCGTTTGTTATCGTGCGATTTCCTACCACTCTCACCGGAATTCCAAGAAAGAACAAGTCCAAAACCGTTCAAAAGAAGGGTAAAAGCCTAAATGAAACTGCACATGGAACAAAAGAACAGGTTGAAATTAATGACTCTGAGATTTTGATTCAAATATTAACTGAACCGAAAAATTTTGAAAATGATTCATTACAAGGACACGAAGGGGATGACGGAAGTGAAGCTGATACGGCGGATCCAGCAGACGATATATCGCAGAACCAAGCAGCAGAGAACACTCAGAAGCTTAACCTAAAACCCAGCTGGAAGTGCAACAAAATGAAGAACCAATACAACCTGCAACCAAATCCCCACCTGTCCCACCAATACGACAAAGTACGGGAGTAAGGTATGCACGAAAACCTTTAAACTACAACCACCTTGGAAACCCAAAGCACTACGCGTCGTCAGTTAATGCAACACCAACCTTCTCCCCATTCATACCTATCCACAGAGTATCCCACTTCCGCCACCAGCGCCATTTATTGCACCACCATGGTTGCCTGCGTGGATCCCTGCATTTCCTCATCCCTTCTACCCTCCAGTAATCTACCAATGTTCGTGATGGAACTCACATTTACGCCCTTTAACATGGGTTACTAGACGTTTACATTTATAATAATTATTAGTATTTGTTTTTTTTTAACTTTACGATAATAAGTAGATATTTACTATTTTCAAACCTGTTACGATGCAGAAGTATTGAAGAGTTGTTAGTTATTACGTGAAAAGGAATCGACAAAGTAAAGATATCAGAAGAAGATGTTGTTTGCCTGGCCAGTAAGCAGCAAATTCATAATAATTTGGACTTGAAGAACATGAAGGACTCGAACAACATTGCTTATTATAGAACTAAATCCACTTGGATTCGTTAACATTCACATCTTAATGTTAAAGAACACTCTTTTAGAAGTGGAGTGTGTGACGTAACCAATTTAGATCGCCCTGTCTTGGGTACCTGTTGAAAGATCGTCACGTGACGAGGCAGCATGCTTGAATTTTGTACTTTTTATTGAACTTTCTTAAAATCGATATTTAAACCAAAAAATGAAGTATTTCGCGTGATAGTTGAACGGGTAACACTTACTTTTCCAAAGTCTGGTTGAACCATCCAGTCAATCCATTTGTTTGTTAGTGATACGCACTGGTAATGCACTGACCAACACCAGTACGAGTGAAAAGCTCGTTGCTCATCTGTTATAATAAAAACCAAATTCAATTATATAAAAACTAGGTCTGTAAAAAAACACAGCTTAATCTAACACGACCATGTTATACAAGATAAGTTTCAGTACCTGGTTTACAAATTCTCTCTCTTGATCACTGATTACGATGACCATACACGGTAACGCAGTATCATCTTAACAAGAAGTCTGAAATACACTCCGCACTCTTGTTTGGAATAGCTTGTATTTCTGGCCATTTAGAAAAGTAGTCAGTCAGAGCGGCTATGCAGCTGTTTCTCTGTTTGCTGATCTTGAGTGGCCCAATCAAATCTATACCCACCTGTGAGAAAAATGATTAAGTTATAACTAAAATAGTAATACTAAGGTCAACTAGAATACAAATGGCCTGTTTACACCCCGTCTTTCCCAGCAAATTGGTTACTGATGCTAGCGTTTTTACTTCTCTCCGCGACTTTACGTCTAAAGGCTCAATTTTGTTCTGTAGATTTACCCGCAGGATACTCTCCTCTATTCGCTGTTATCCATGTTGCACTCTTGTTAAAATTGCTTACAACACTGATGAACATTATGTAGCCGTAACCTTTGTTTTTTTGTGTTTGCGGAATGTTTTATGAGTTATCCAAACCTTTGTGCTTTTGTGTTTGCGGATGTTTTTGTCAGTCATCCGAACCTTTCTGCTTTTGCCAAAACCAAACGCGAAAAGTACGCTTTCCATCAAACTTAAAGCTCTTGGCCGCAATGAAGAATTTCAACGAAATTAAATTATGTAAACTAACTATAACTAACAAATACTTTTAGGAACTTGGTTCTAGAAGAAGCTAATTGGTTCTAGAAGCGGCAAATTTTTGAAGGGGGACCAAATATCCTAGGAAATATAGCCCGGGGGGATTTGGGGGGAGGTAAATTTGCTGGAACACCGCCATGACCATGTAATATACATTCCCCGGGGGTATCAGAATTTTGTTAATTAATATTGGCGGATATTTGACGCTATGGGGTATGGTCTATCGCCGCCAATATTCATGCAACTTCTCGTATTATTGTGTTGATTTTTTTCAACATTTTTAAACTTTCAAGTTCTCATGATTGCTGAAAAATTGGCATGTTCGATACTTAACTTCAATGTCGAAAATATGTTAAATAATAAACAAGTTAAATGTCCGAATTAACTTCAATATCGGAAACATGTTGAAAGATGACAAAAATGAATAGGCGCCTAAATTTCGTCAGGAATCCATTTAATGTAAAATATTCGAGGGCTTTCTTATTGTATGATCATCAAACTTCATCTTTCTCTTGTATAGAGATGTGTTAACAACACATCTAGGATTAATTAAACAGACACGGAAAGAGAATTAAATACGTGCAAATCCTCTCTACGTTGTACTTCGGAGATTTTGTCGCTCTCCAACAATTCATTTATCGCCTAACCTACAAATTGCTGAATTGTTATTCTTCTTAAAAGATTAAGGTGGATCAAATGTGAAGTCTATGATAAATTCTAGGGCCTCCATCCTCTCCCAAAACACTATATGCTGTAACCCAAACATGAATCGCCATAATAGGTGACTTAATTCCTTCAGTTAATATATTCTTAAGACACTTCCCTTGTTGTTCTAACTGTACCTGTAACACGCTGTCTTCATTGTCAGATAAATCGCTTTGCTCACTTTCACTCTGTACAGTACTTGGTTAGGGCATATTCGGTTTTCTGGAGCACTGATAACTTCCATAGGCGCGCACCTCGTTACCTGGCACGGTATCGACTAAAGCATTCGTAGCCCCAGTGGCCTCTGCAGCCGCATGTGATACAAATGGCGTTGACTTGTGTACGAGATCGTTGACCCCCTTGCTCGTTGAGATATAAAATAAAAACAAAGACATAATTAAGGCTGAACATCCCTACTATAATCTTAAAATTAATAGACTTATTGCATTAAGTCAGGTAATGTGTAGGTTCTTGTAGTACCATAACGTTAATGACTATTGTATTGTGACACGTTGCTTTTATACTCTAGAACTAATGCTCACAGGAGAATGACGTTCCGCGACGTTCCGCGTCGTGCCTGCAAACAATAGGAAAATATATTTTCATTCTTCCTCATGTTACTCGTAAGCCTGGCGCACACTAGAGCTATGTGCTTCTGTAGCAAAATGCCATTCGTGGCCGATTGCGTAAGGAGAAAACTCCAGTGTGCGATGCACTTTTGTAAGTTTTTCGTCACTCGTGACGCATAAAACAAATATCCGATGTGTTGAATTTTTTTTATCACGAATGAACACTTCATGTCTACGCGCTCGAAAAGCTATCACCTTTCATTGTAGATCGAATAGGCATGCGTAATAAAACATAAAACAAAAGGAAAATAATTAATGAGGAATATTCATATGTCGCTACTCATGTATCACATTCCTTCAAGAATAGAAACGGCATTTGTCCCCCCCCCCATTCGAACAGGTATTTTGTGAGGATTTCAATGGTGGTTTTCGTTTAAACCGGGGGGGAAGTTGGTAAATAGTCGGTGGGTAATTACAAACAACCAGTCATTTCCCAATCGAGCAGAGGGTTGGGTCTAGTTGATGTTTGGAGGGACGTTTGGAAGGATAACAAGTTATAGTGAGGAAGCTAAATATATATTAAAAGATGCCTTATTACAATTGTTGCGTTTCAGGTTGCACTAATAACTTTAGGAATGTAGGAAAACTTCCTTGATGCCAGATTCGGCATATTGTTTATTTTTTGTCCCTCCAAACAAGCGACTAAACCCAGTTCTCTGCTCGATTGGGAAATGGCTAATTGAATCGTAATACTGTGATCAATGCATCGTTGGTTAATGGGTTACTGTAACGAATTACATTGGTTTGTTCTGTTGAAAAAAGAGATGATCTTACTAGTCAAGAGGAGACAAGTGCCCATCAATTACTCATGCAAACAATTACCTCCTTATGCATCAGTCAAATCCAAGCGTGCCCATCCTCGCTCGGGCCACCGCGGGACATTTTCCTGTAACGCACGTCCTGGGGTTGGGCATTTGATCTCAAACCTTTTCCTGGGGGGAGGCACTTGAAATTAAACATTTCGAGGTTTTACAATCACCGATAACTTGATAATATAAAATAAAACAATACCAGTTTCAGTACATTTAATAAATTAATTGCTTCTTGCCCTCAGGCAAACAGCACACTATTCTTAAGGTAACATAAAGTTCTTCACATTCACTCGTACCCAGTGTCTTTGGCCGAGTTATGTAATGCCAATTCCAATCTCGACATTGAGAAATTAAATTTGTCCGGATTTTCAAAACGGGGGTATTTTGGCATGCGAAGTTTATTCCAAAAATTGGGAGCGGGGGGTTATTTTTTATCGAAGATTCCCGAACTCCTTTGAAAGTTTGAGTCCTTTTTCGGAGAGCTGTCAGAAAGTTACATGTTTCGAGGTAAATATCAAGTAAAAATTTGGAGAAAAAGTCAATTTTATATACATTTACAAGCTCTAAATTACTTTGTGACTGTTCGTTTTTTGCCAGTTAACGTATTGAGTCTAAATAGTTGATCATAATTGCTCAATACACAGATTAATCTGCATTTATTTTGCATTTTATTATGCATACGCAAAATATTTTGAATACCGACCAGAACCGCATGGACATGGTTTTGTACTCATTCAATCATCTTGAAATATCTTCTCAAACCCAGTGTCAGTGAACTCGATAATATCCAGTGAACTGTATATATAGAGTGTCTATTTAATTTCCATTCCAAATTATGTTACTTCA